GTGGTACGCCGTTCAAACTACGCGCGCGGCTAGGTTCAAAGCTTGAAGCTAAGACATAACAGCATTCTAGACTGGGTCTACGCTATGGGCGGAAAAATCCGCAAATCTTACATCAAGACTTTTAGTTCCACTTTTCTTCACCGTACGCGCGGCGATCGAAATTCCGCAAATCTTACATCACTGCCGCCAGCCTGTCGGTAGATTCTGCGGAAGATGGCAGGATCTGTCGACAGCCTGGCCCCATTCTGCCACCAGATGGTTGACTAGGATTGGTTACATTTGTGCACCTTGACGGTCTAAATAACAACGTATTTTCCTTTTATAATTATTCTCGAGAAGTTGAAATGTTAAAGGAATCACCTTAAATAATGCAATATACTCTCTGTTTCAGATGAAATATGTCGCTTGGTTTGGAGCATGTTTCGAGAGACATATTACAATTACATGGTATACATAATCTTTCTGCAAGTAGAGGTACTCAGATGATTTGAAGGTCAACTTTGGTTTTTCAAATGGAATAGGACATTTTATTATGATGCAATTAGATATTCTTTATAAGAAAAAGTACTATACTGTTTGATATATTAAAAGAATACTTATGAAGAATGTAATATTGTAACTATACCTACTACGAATGTAAACAAAACGCAATGCAGGCTCAATTGGGCTCAATGCTCAATGGGCTTTATATGTGCAAGAACGTATCCTGATTCCTGATCGGAGACATCCTACCTAAATAATGTTTTCGTTCTGTATCATTGAAAACAGTTCTGTATTTTAATAGCGTGTCTCCGAAATTTTTTTAAAGAATACGAGACGTAGAAATGTTTTTATTTGATTTTTAATCCTGTATTTGCATATTACATGTCGCACGAAATAAGATAAAAATGAGTCTTTTGCAACTAAGTTTCTACTTTATTCTTTTAATAATAAATTGTAATAATCGGATATTTCTACAAAGTGGTCGTGTTAATTTTTAATTCTTTGTAAATTTGCGTGATTAATACATTTTGAAATGATTTTGTTATGTCATGAAGACTTTATTTTTGTTTCTTGTTCTTTTTGTCCTATTGTCTTTTTCTTCCTTTCAATAAAGAATTTATGAAATAATCCAATACAAGAATTTTGTAATTTTTTTTCTGTTCGTGTGTTGTTATAATTCCCACAATTCTCACCTTTCTGTTTGTCCCTGATTGTCCCCGATTTCACTCCCAAAAATATAGTCACCCTACATACAATATTGGACGTTGTTCTTTCACTTGAGACAGTGTCTGATGGTTCTTAATTTGTAATATTTGTTAGATGCTTTTTAATGAACAATAAGCACTTAGAAACGTCCTATGACTTATGAACTATAATGCTTATTAATGTAACGTTTGTTCGTTCATAATGATTTACAACGGTGATACGATAAAATTGACACGTTCCTTACGAAGCTGTTTTTACAATATGTATGGGAAAATTGATGTGATATATCTATAAAAAATAAGATTATATTCTTTCTAATTTTTTTACATTTTTATTACTAACAACATTTATGATGAATATAATAAACCGTATGTGAAATGTTACATAAGTCGTTTATAAAATCATTACAAATTTCATTTATCGTAAGACTATATCTTCTGATATGTAGATCCATTTAAATAACAAGCTATTTACCATTTTGCTGTACGGAAACCACTTAGCGACGTCAATTTTTGTAACTATACAATTTCCAGTTCGATAAATTATAATTTATCGTGCCCAGACGGTAATTAATAAAAATTGCAGTTGGCATTTTCCAATTAAAATTAACTATTTGTGTATATAATATATAAAATCGCTTGTAACATAATTGAAATTGTACATATATACGTGCGCGAAGAATTAATATCTAAACAATGGTGAAAATGATAAAATTAACGGTGACAAATAATAAAAGCAAATGCAAAGTGATCAAATTCCTGAATATAAGCAATTCGAGATTGTTAAAATCATCACGTCAACTACAATTCATTCTCAACGAGTAATACAACAGCTTTGTCATAAACTTTTATTCTGCGATATATATATATAAATANCCACTCAACAGTGTAATTGAATGAGAAACATTTCATCGATATCGAATCGATAAAACTGATAATACAAAGTTTGAAATACTTTGAGAATTAAATTCGTGAGTAAACTCACTCGTAAACTACAAATTTTATGCGATAAGTATGCAAGTAAAATATAGAAAACAGATTCGAGGAAATATTCATAAGATCATTAATAAAACACGAATAACGTTAACGTAATAATAATTAAGAGTCGTCTAGTAACTCCAAAACGTAATTCTCCTAAGTGTTTGAAAACTAATACAGATTCTTAAAAAATTATTATCTAGGACTTCAAATGTCGAGACGATTGAGCGTAGGACATGTCGCTAGGAAATTGCTTGCTCCTCTTGCTCAGAGGTACAACCTCTTTAAGTCTCAGATTTCGTTTGAACAATATATACTCTGTTGCATGCTTAATTAAATTGAGAATTAATCAGTAACTATACGTCGATATTTTCTGTTAGGAGGGAACACTTCTTCGTCTTCGTCTTTGTCGGCAGAAAGGAAAGGATCGTCGTAGGCATAGTTCGGTGCCCATTTCAATAACAATTTCTCAAAAAATTCTTCTAAATTCCGTGCTTCTTGATATACTTGCGATTCCACCTAAAAACCAATTAAAGAAATATAATTGTATTATAATCAGGTTTTATTAATGACTTTCTTCTGTGAGACTTACAGGATTGTATGTAAAAGCGTTTTTAAACATCAGTCTGATGTCTGCCATCACTTGTCTCAGATCTGTGTAATGATTCGGGTGCTCAGGCTTCAATTTATCTCTAATTACGTCTAACGCGATGGGTTTCTTTATAATGCGATGATAATCAACAATCTGTTGGCAAGAAACGAATTAAAATTTTCTTATATTTTTACCATATCAAAGATTGCAGAAAATCGTTTAAATCTTTAATTCAATTTCATACGAATTGACTTTTAATTTTTAATTCTTTGACCAATTAAGAATTAAAATTCAATCATTGAGATGTTTTCTAATTAAGAGTTAAAATTTAATCGTTTTTGTTAATATGACAATTTAAAGGTCTGTAACCGTGCGGATAGTAATTTACCTCGCTGGATACAACTTCACGGAAAGGTAAACTTTGCTCGTATTGGCAATAAAGCTCCAACACGATCCTTTGCGCGATTCGCAATTCCTTTGCGCTGATCGAAATCGTTCTCTTCTCTCCTGGCGGATCGTCCGTACAATCCAACACGTTTGTACATAACATGCACTGCCAGGTTTCACTTTCGCTACGTTAAAAATAATGTAACGTTTGGTCACAAAAGCGATAGTGTAAAATATAGTAAATAGTACACACGCGATTCAAGCAACTTGAAATTGCGCGTCCAATTTAAAAACAAATATTTTGTACTTACTCGGGAAATGATTTTAAACTAGGAATATGACAGTACAAGTGGAAGACTTTCGGGCATTTATCACAACAGAGTACCGCATCTCCTCCATCCATGCACACCGCGCACCAATCCTCATTCGGATCATCCTTCGTCATGGACGCTGCAGCATCTTTTGAGTTATCTAATCGACGCATAATTATTGCATTCATCATCCCATATGATAAGATAATTCAAAACAGGAGTCCAAACATCCTTATATTAAACTAGAGGGAACATTTACCCGATGAATTTTCCGTCATTGGATTCATTCCTTCGTCGGTGGAGCTGTCGACTTGCGAAGAGTCCAGCTGGTTTCGTTGAGCTTCCGGTATCACTACGATCCCATTGCTATCCAGTTTTGCTATCGTCAGCATCAAATCGTTCAATGACTTTTGACAAAACTTGTCCAAACTCTTCTCGGTCTCGTCCGATTTCCCAAGAGGCACAGGGCTAGGCGTTTTCGGCACGGATGAACTGACCGCGTGACCGGCTACGGAATTCGCCAGATTCTGCTGAGGCGGATTTTCAGTGACGGCGGTGCTCGTTTGCGTACTAAACTTTTGATTCGATTGCTGATTTTTTAACGTTATCTTATAAGTATCGTTTGTAGGAACTGGCATGGAAGGTGCGATTGTTTGGTGACGAGAAGTATAAAACGGAAGACAAGGATTAATGTTTTGCGGTATGTGCCAGCGGGCCGCAGTCGGTTGTTGCATGGGATAATTCATGTGCTGAGCGGACGGTGAAGTCGGGTTGCACTGCTGGATCCGGATACCGGACACGTTCGGTTGGTACGCGGGTGGAGGCACCGGCCGCTGAGATCCGTTCGGCGGATACCTGTAAGGCGGCAGTCGGTACGACACGTGGTTCGCAGATGGTCGGAACGGTGGCGGGTTGTGAGCCAAAAGGCCGCGTAAACTCGTGTTCTGCCCAAGCTGATCCATATGAACCTGCTGATGAGGATGCGTGGACGACGTCACTTGTTGGTGGCAACTACCCAGCGGACGTTGCTGCATCATCATCGGCTGTGGAAGCCTATTGTTGTAAGCAACGTATGGTACGCGCGGCTGGTGCGCTTGCGGCGAAGACCGAGCCGGCACGTTGTTTATCTGGTAATGTTGCATGTAATTCTGCGACTGCTGCTGTTGCTGCTGCTGCTGTTGAGACGCTGCTACATGCTGAAGAGGCACTTGCTGATAGGAATTTGGTTGCATATTGGCCGACTGCTGCGTCACGATTGGTGCTGGTCCAGACAAGGAAGAACCATCGTGCGTGTTCGTCGGATTCGATTGCTTTTGATCTGTTTGAGACTCGTTGTATGGTATAGATGGTGTATTCGCTCCGCTTACTGGAGATATCGAAGGATACACTCTGCCATCTACGACTATTGCTCCGATCGACGATACCACTGTTGCAGAAAAAAGAAACTTTAAATTGTCGTAGAATTTGAAAACATTCTGAATCGTGTGCATTTAGTTAAGGGTTGCAAATAATGGATTAGATCTATAATTCAATTCAGCATCAATTAACAATTAACATTTAATTCTCATTCGACTAATTACGAATTAAAATTTAATGATTA